CTGGAGGGCTCTGGGTCAGGGAGAGGGGCGGGACCCAAGGACCCTCAAAGGGGTGTGCACCTGCCTGTGTGATCTCACCTGAGTGTGGGGTGTCCCGGTGCCAGAGGACCAGGGTCCTGGAGTCCTGGGTACCGGTCCTGGCTGCCCCCCCCCACCCCGGGAGTGGGCCTCAGTTTCCCTTCCTGTTTAAAGGTGGAGGTGTGTCTAGTAGCCTGTCCCCAGGGTCCTCGTCAGCGGCAGACGTCTGTGCCCTGGAGGGCAGGGGTCCCCTAGGCACAGGGGTCGGGGCATGTCAGATTTGAATCTCTCCAGTGCCGGGGTTGGTGGAGACCTGAGAACTTGCGGGCGCCGACCAAGTTGATGTGCCAGGAGCGAAATGCCCCTCTCAAATGTGCTGAAATTGATCTATTCCTTTACTTCTCTCCGCCTGAATTTTCTCTCCACCTCTGGCCCTCCCCCCACCTGGTTCCTCCCCACCTTTCTGCAGAAAGGCCCAGGCCAGGCAGGGCGTGTGTGTGTGTGTGTGTGTGTGTGTGCAGGCGTGCATGCAGGATGTGGATGGAACTTGCACAGTGTCGTGGATGGACTCTCCCTTGGACCCCTGAGACCCCAGGAAATGTCCAGAATTGTAGACTTGTCAGGGACAGTGGCCCCTCCTCTGGGGAGCCTTCGCTGACCTGCCTTCACAGGGAGAAATGCAGCCCCTCCTCCGGACTTGGGCAGTGCTGGCCGCCCCTCCTCACCTGGAGGGACGGGCAGGGTGGATCTCTGTGGCTCTGAGGTGGCACCAGTGACTGTTTCTAGAATAAATCCTTCCTCCAGACCCACCTTCCTTCCTTTCATGTGCGGTCCGTGGAAGCAGAATGCCTTTTCCAGACCGCAGACTGGTGTGGGCGAGGCCGGGCAGTTTGAGTCCAGGCTGCTGTATCCGAGCACTATACCCATGTCCCCATCTTACACGTCCCAGAGACTCAGAGCAAGCCCGGACCCTTCCGTCCCCTCTGCCTCGTCCCTTGCCTGGCGGAGGACTCCCGGTCTTCACGGGGAGCCGGGGTCTGAGGTGACTTTCATGTTCCTAGGGGCCAGGGGGGTCTGGGTTCAAATCCTGAGTCCTCTACTCTGCTGTGTGATGGTGGGCAGATGGCCTGACCTCTCTGACCTCAATCGGGTTTCTCATGTATTAGAGGAGGCCCAGGCCTGCCCCAGCAATTTATCCTGGTCTTTAAGGCGCCGGCCCCAGGCCAATCTCCGTCCCGCAGTTGACGACGTGCTGACACCTTGTGGTCAAGAGGTGTAACGGTCACGAGTGGATGGCTAAAGGGCAGCCTCTGACCAGCGCCGTCCAGCAGAAAGATGCCGACCACATATATTTTACATTTTCTAGTAGCCACACTAAGAGGTAATAAGAAACAGATGAAGTTACCTTTAATAACAAATTTCATTTAACCCAGTATACCCAAATTATTGTTTCAGTATTTGTCATCAATATAAAAATCATGAATGAGCTAGTTTACATTCTTTTTAGTGCTAAGTCTGAAATTTGGCGAGTGTTTTATACCTACAGCACACATCGGTTTGGACTCGCAGCAGTTCAGGCGCTCAGTAGCCACATGTGGCTCGTGGCTACTATACTGGACGGTGTGGCCAGGACAGCTGCTTCCTCTAGTGACCGCACCCCCATCCCTGACCTCCCCGAAGGCGCCCTGGGACTTGCCTGTTGTTGTGGGTTGAATTATGTTCCCCAAAAGATATGTTGATGTCCTAACCCCTGGTACCTGTGACTTCACTGGGAAACAAGATCATTGCAGATATAGTCAGATGAGGTCGTACTGGCTTAGGGTGGACCCTGGACCCAGTGACTGGTGTCCTTAGAAGAAGACAGAAATTTGGACACAGACATGCCAGGAAGGACGTGATGATGGAGGCAGAGACAGGGGCGATATGGCCACAGCCAAGGAATGCTGGGAGCCCAGAGGCTGGGAGAGGCAGGAAGGGCCTTACCCCGGATCCTGAGAGGGGCACGGCCCTGCCAGCTCCTTGATTTCAGGCTTCTGGCCTCCAGAGACGTGAGAGATTCAATGTCTGTTGTACCACTTTGTGGCACTTTGTGACGGGAGCCCCAGGAATCTACCCATCTCTCTGTCTTGCCCCTGGTGGCCACTCTGGAAGCAGTTGGTGACAGGTCAGCAGATGACGCCCCGTCGTCCACCACACCGAGCATCAAGGTCTGGTGGGGGGGGTCACAGTGGCTGTCCCTCCTTCTCCCTGTGTGACCCGGAGCTGCTGTTTGTTGAGCCCTTTCTGAGCCAGGCCCTGCTCAGCATTACCTCACTGGCTCCTCCAACAACAACGGGTACTAGTATTATCATCCCCCTTTATAGATGAGGAAACTGAGGCCCGGTGAGGAGCTGAATCCTCCAGCTTCAGTCTTCTCATCTGTAAATTAGGAGACTTGAAGCCACATGAAACCAGGAGGGCTCTGCTTGTCAGATCCTCTCAAATCCACAGATCCCATCACTCGTGTGGCATCTGGTGGCTTTGAGGGTGCAGATGTGGGGACACCTGCTCTGCTCCTGGTTCCTCACCCCAGGGTCGAGTGGGAGTTCTGCTCATGGAACATCTGCTGAGAGTCTAATGCATCTTCAGAATCCCCCACTCGGCTCCGTGCTCACAGTGGGCGCACACTCAGAGCACGGGGCTGCATGCATACGGAGGGGAGCCGGGTGCGTTTGGTGATACCGTCTGTCTGAGGAGGCCTTGGGCTCCTGAGCTGACCGTCTGAGTCAATGCATCTGCCCCCATCCAAGCTCACACGGGCTGCGACAGTGGGTCGTGAGCCAGCGCCACATGCTCACCATTGGACACGGATGCTGGCACGGGCCCTGCACGGATTCAGTCCTCTTATCCGTTCTCCCCGGCACTAGCTGGCTGTCCTTAACGGCACAGGAGCAGATAACAGTGCAGTGTTTCCATCAGAGTCCTGGGTCCGTCTCTCGCTCTCCCTCCGCAGAGGGCCGGGGATGCAAGTCTGGGAACACTTCCGACCACTGAGGCTTGGGAGTCACTGACGGTGTCGGGTCGTGAGCTGTGTGCTGAGGGGGCAGTGGCTCAGGCTACTTGGGCGGCGACTGGGGTGTCCTCCAGCTCACTCACTGCCAGCCTGTGCCCATTCCCACGCGCTCTGTGGAGCATCGGAGGGCATGGAGGGCCCGCTGCCACCCTCTCTGTTGTGTCAGGGCCGGCTGTCCTGTGCACAGACACTTTAGGGAAATGGTTCTTTTGCCTGTTGCTTTGCCCAAGGGGTGCCCGCCCGTGAGGACGCCTAGACTCCTGGGCACGTTGTCTCAGGGGTGTTAGAAAACAGTGACAGTGAGGACACACACTGTTATTCATGGACCGTCTACCCGAGCCAGGTCCTGTGCTGGGCACAAAACGTGGGTGCATCATAGAACCTGCACTTTATTCCAGTCAAGTGATTATAGCGAGCCCCATAAAGAATGGGGAAACAGAGGCAGAAAAGAGGGACTCCAGGGTCTCCCTGCTGTGACGGGCGGGGTTGGACCAAGGGCTGTCCAGCTCTGGCCCTGGGCGTGCCTGTCCTCCGCTGCGCCCATGGGAACACAGCGCTCTCTACCGTATTATTTGGATGAGGAGGGAGAGCAACCCCAGGGTGGCGGGCGCCTTCTCGCAGATGTGGGCACACCCGGTTGTACCTCATCCAGGCGTTTCTGTGGGTCTTTTTGTCACTGTTGTGAGGGTGCAAACTGTAGTTATCACTTGAGCACTGGTGGCGAGAGGGTGCTTTGAAGGTCTTCATCCCACAAGAGCTTCACGAGCTGGCACGCAGGGCTCAGGGCCTGTGGTCGCCCCGTCCACAGTGCGGAGACTGTGTCCGGAGGTTCCTGAGGGAGGGGGCTGCCTGGCCAGCCCAGCAGGACCAGAGCCCCGTCCTGTGTCTCCTCCAGTGGGGGCTCGCATGTGCTCAGGAAGCTTGCGTGACCCCCAGATCTTACGTTGAATCCCTAGCAATGGCCCCCACCGTCCCGGACTCGCGGTTCAGGCCCGGGTTCTGTGAGGTTGCAGGATCAGAACTCGGGCCTCTTCCCTCCGGTCCTAGCCTTCTTCCTGGCCCCTCCACATCTCTCCCCTTTCTTATTTCCTGCTGTGCGCCCAGCCTGCCCGCCCCTTGTGGGACCCCTGCAGGGCCAGCTGAGCTCTGAGTCAGACGCCCATTCTGTCTCTCAGACTCAGTTCCTCCCCCTTGGCCCTTGCTTCTGGCGGGGACCTGGGCGGGTGGCATGGCTTGAGGTTGGTTTTATTGGCCTTCCCAGGGGTCTCACTGTGGGTCCAGTGCCTGGCCCCTGAGGAGGGCCCTTGAAGCCCACAACTGCAAGGAGAGTTTTGTATGTTGGTCCTCTTCTTGGGGAGTAGGGTCCCCAGCTCAGGAACCGGTGGGGCACCACCCTGCAGAGTGTTCTGGAGGGCAGGGAGCCAGGGCCTGCCTGACTCTTGGGGGACTCGGAATAACGTGAGGTCAGAGGCGGTGGTGGGTGGAGCCCCTGGTACAGGCTCCAAGGTCTGCTTGTTAAATATTGGGGAATTTTGTGAGAACTAGTTGCTCAACTGCTGGAAGCCTGCAGTTGGCCACGGTGGAAGTGTCTACACTACGGCAGTCGGCCAGTGCTCCAGAGCACGGCGTTTGTACCCTGGGAGCAGGCTTGCCCGCACACTGGGGGGCAGTCCCAGCCTTTGGTGCCCGATACATTCCACGGAACCCACCCCGCTCTCTGCCTGTCTTTCCTCAGACCAGTCGTGTGACCTCCCTGAGACTCAGTCTCCTCCCCTGTGAAATGGGAGGTCGCTGGGACGACTGAACGAGACGGAGCTCTGGAGGGCTGGGTGTCCGCGAGCGCTCAGGAAGTGATGCCCCTGGGGGCATAGTTTAGGGGCGACCGCCTGGCAGGGGTCTGCGGCCCTGACAGCGCTGTCCTCTCTCCTCCAGGTGGATGCCGCAGGCCGCCAGCTGCAGACAGTGGTATGGTACACGGACTTCCCTCGTTCTGTTTTGTAGGAGTGACGCAGACCCTCCATGCTATCAGAGCATTTTAGAGAGCCAAACCTATGTTCCGAAGTGGGTAATTAATAATGTGGCCCGTTAACCAAATCCAAACCCCTTCTTAAACAGCTAGAAATTAGACAAGATGAAAAAGATAGCACCATCCGTCTGCTCAGCAAGGGCTCCCAACCCCGGCCCGGCCCCAGGGCTCCTGAGAGGGGTTCCTGCCATTCCTCCCCTCGCGGCCCCATGAGGTGGGCTCCAGACAGGCTGAGTTCTGCCCCTAAAGTGTGCACTGGCCTCACCCGCTGTTTATCCCATGTGGCCCCTGGCTCTCAGCCCCGGTGGCCCCCGCTGAGTCTGGGCTGGGCAGGCCCCTTCCCTCTCTGGGCCCGTTTCCTCCTTCCTAAAACAGGGAAGGGGACGCTGATCTCATGGGACCGTTTTGAAGATGACATGGGATCTGATGTCTAAAGGCTCAGAAGCGGCCGTTCCTTCACATCCCTCCTGCCGGCTCTGGGCATCTGGTATATTCTATGTGGAGGGACTACATTTTTTCTAAAAGCAGGAAAATGTTTTCCCAGTGCAAAAGTCAATGACATATAAAATGCTGTGAGTGGAGAAATGCTGAGCAGAAACAACCCTGTCCTTTCTAAACTTTGACGTGGAAAAGTGGTGAATCTTGTAACTTGTATCACGAGATGCTGCGTGTGGAAGGTCCGGCTGAGGACAGAGGAGGAGGCGGCCTGCGGACCGGAGTGAGCAGGCAGGGGCTGCAGCCATGCAGTTCCACACCAGCGGGGCCTGGAGGGCCGGCCGCTTGGCAGACGAGGGCCTTAGGGGATGGGACGGTGGGAGCCCAGCCACACTGGGCGGGACCTCCACTCGTGGGCTGGAAAAATAGCAATAATGATCAGGCGTAAAAATGCCTGGTGACGGCCAACACCCTGCCTCCCTCTGTCTGTACTTAAAACATCCTTGTGAGATGCAAGACTGAGGCAGGCCCGGCCAAACTGTAGCCATCTTTGCTTAGCCTTCTCCTCAAGGGCCTGAGCCCAAGTTAACCAAACAGGGATCAGCCGCTTTCCCAGAGACACGAGGCCGTCCAAGCTGGGTGCGTCTTTGGGACCTGTTTGCTCTGGGGCTGTGTCTTCGGGAAGGTTCGCACCTGCTTCTGCCAAACCCAGGCTCTGTTGGCCTCTTTCACGTGGCCTCCTGTGGCCAGCCCTCGGCAAGGCTGGCTTTGCTGTGCCCATTTTGCAGACGTGGGAGCTGAGAGCCAGAGCGGCCAGCCCCGGCTTGCTCACTAGTGCGTGGTTGAGCCCAGGCAGTGTTAGGAGCCTCTCTGGTCCTCACAGGCCCTGGCTTCCTCCAAGTAGCCCTTATCCTGGTGCTCTTCCCTGCCAGCCTGTGGGCGCCCCCTCCCTGCGGGCCCTGGCCCGGGTGGGTCTGCTGGGGTGGAGCGGGTCCTTAGGAAGTGTCTGACGGTGCCACGTGGGTCATGGTGGGAGGGAGTGACCTGCTGACCCCCGCCTCCCCCAGCCACGTGCGTGGACCTGCAGCTCGTGACCTGCAGCGATGCCGCCTACAACCAGACCACCTTCCCCACCCTGCTGGAGCACCGCACCCGGGCAGCGGTGGAGGCCAGCTCCGAGTACATCCTGCTGAGCGTCCTGCACCACCTCCTGGAGGGCCAGTGCAACCCCGACCTGCGGCTGCTGGGCTGTGCCGTGCTGGCCCCCCGGTGCGCGGGCGGCCGGGTGCGCAGGCCCTGCCGGCACGTGTGTGAGGGGCTGCGGGAGGCCTGCCAGCCCGCCTTCGACGCCATCGACATGGCCTGGCCCTATTTCCTGGACTGCAGCCGCTACTTCGCGCGCCAGGAGGAGGGCTGCTACGACCCACTGGTGGAGCTTCGAGGTGAGGAGGCCTTCGGGGGCTCCGGGGCCCAGGGGTCGAATAGGACAGCCGAGTCGGAGGGGGACAGGGCCTCAGCCAAGGCCCCCATGAGGAGGCCTCACGTACCGGTGCCTCCTGGGAATGCAGATACGCGTAAGAGCGTGCTGGCCCGGGGGCCTGAGTCCTTGACTGCAGCCCCTCCAGAAACTGCCCTGTACTGGCTGTGCCCAGTCTGGTGTGAGGAGGGCACGTCCCCCACGAGGCCGGCCCAGCGAAGCCTGTGATTGCCTGTGGCTGACCCTCAAGGAGGGCACGTAGGATGCTGGCCTGGAGCCAGACTCCTGAGTGGGGTCTTCGGGGCCCCGTGGGCTCAAAGCAACAAGAGGGGCTGCAGAGAGATGAACTTTGTTTCCTCCTGTGGATAAACCAGCTGAGGTGGAGTGGGCAGCCCTGGGTGGTGATGAGCCACTCATCTTGGGAGGTGTGCAGGGAGGCACTGGAGGGCCGCTTGGCAGTGATGCTGCATGGGAGGAGGTAGTGAAAGCCCTGCATGGGGGCTCGACCCAGTGCCCCTCCCTGCCTTTCCACTCCTGAGTCGACTGTGCTCCACGGGCTGGGCTTCCCAGAGCAGGTAAGCAGAGGATGTCGGGAGCCCAACCCTCCAGGGACACGGTGTCATCCACAGCGGCCTCGGCTGAGAGAACTGTCTGCCACGGTGGAAAGGTTCTGTTCTGTGCTGTCGCAGACAGCGGCCACTAGTCCCACATTGCTACTGAGTGCTACGAATGTGGCTAGTGCGACTGAGGGTCTAAGTTTTGATTTTAATGAATTTAAGCTTGAATGTAGACAGCCACATGTGGCCAGTGTGTGACACTGGACAGTGCAGGACAGCGTCCCCTCCGGCTCCTCGTGTGCTCCACTCATGAAGCTGACGGTGAGGTTCACGGGATCCGGTGCCAGGTGGCACACGTGTACAATCTCATTTAAACCCCACAACAGCCCTGAACCTCAGTTATGACCCCATTTTATAGGTGGCCAAGGGGAGGCTCTGGGAAGGCAAGGGGCAGCAGGGCGTTGGCATCAGCTCTTGCCTGGCAGAGCTGGTGTGAATCGGGCCAAGTACTGATGGATGGATTGGTCTGTCCATGCACCAGGCAGCTATTGAGTGCCTGCTGTGTACATGGCCCCGTGCTGGGCCACCGAGGATGGCAGAGGAGGACACAGAGGTGCATCTGGGCTGGTCTCCAGCGAGCCCTGGGTTCCAGTTCAGTGAGTTCTACTCACTGGCTGTGTGTGAGGCCCAGGGCGAATCCTGGAGCTGAATCTGGGGTGGGGGGATTCCATCTGCCCCACGGGCTTCTGTGTGGATGCAGGGGCGGGGGGCGTGGGCAGCACTTTGCAGGCAGGTAGGAGCTGTCAGCATGTGCAGAGCCAGGGAGCTGGGGCGGTGGGGGCGCTGGGTGAGGGCAGAGGAGCAGAGAAAGGGAACCAGACGGCTCTGTGGGGCCAAGCCCGCCAGCCTGGGAAAGCCCGTCGAGTTGGCTTGGGAGAGATTATTTTGGGCAACTCCGGCACCAAATTGCTGGTTCCATCTGCTTTCTTCCCCTCGAAAACCACTTTGAGCAGAAACAAAACCACAGGGCAAGTGAGACACTTAGGGAAGAGCGTTAACTGTGAACCAGCCTCCCGGGACCCGCATGGGTCAATGCAGAGACCTGGGGGATGGGGCCGGCCGGGAGTGACCAGGGCCGTCCTCCTCCTTGGTGCTTACGCCCCAGTGAGAGGGATGGGAAGGCCAGCTGGCCTGGGGATTGCGTAAAAAACAGCCATTCCCTAGACCTGGAAGCCCAGGAATTTCTCCTAAGGAAACTTTTTAAAGTATGGAGAAAAGCTTCCCTCCCCCTTCCCCTCCCCCGCCCCTCCCCCAGTGCTCTATTGGTAATCACAGCAAACATTTGGAGTCCTTGAGGTGGTGGGGGGTAGACTGTAAGGAGCCTGTCTGAGCTGTTGCCTGACTGAGAGGCTCGGGAGCTGTTTCCACCATGATGCTAAGTAAACAAAGCAGGCTGGGAACTTCAGCACGGTGATTACAGCTCTCCTCGCTGTCAACAAAACACAGAAAGTCAGGGCTGTGCCGCGGCGCTTCTCTGTGGGTTGAGGATTCTGTAGGTACCTCTTCTCCTTCACGGTCTACTGTTCTGTATTCGGTAACGTTTCCAAAGTAACTACATGTTACTTTTATTCATAGTAACATTAGGCACTATGTTGCTGTACACATCTGCTGGGTGCTAGTATTAGCTGTCGATGTTAAGTGTTATAAAGGGAATTTTAGTTAAACACATGAACACAGATTGGCCGGGGAGCCATCCCAGGGGGGTGCTTGGGTCCTGACCCCCAAGTTGCCGCAGTGCCGTGGGGGTGCGGGTGTGAGGTGCTGGGAGCGCTCAGGGTCCTGGGCAGGTAGGGGATCCAGGTGGGGGCAGACAGAGCAGCCATCGGCGGGTGGGCAGCGGGCAGGCCGAGCGCTGACCGGGTGTCCACCTTCTTCCCCTAGGAGGCCTGGACGTCGAGGAGGCACCGCCCTCGGGGCTGCCGCCGACCTTCATCCGCTTCAGCCACCACTCGTACGCCCAGATGGTGCGCGTGCTGAAGCGCACGGCGGCCCGCTGCGCCCACATCGCCAAGACCTACAGCATCGGGCGCAGCTTCGAAGGCAGGGAGCTGCTGGTCATCGAGTTCTCGGGCCACCCTGGCCAGCACGAGCTGAGTAAGCCCCTGTCGCTGTCGGGCGCCCAAGGGAGAGGCCTGGGCGTGGGCCTGCGTCCGGGAAAGGGCTCTGGGCCTGCCTGGCCTTGGAGTGCACAGGATCCTAATCAAGGCCCCCAGTGTTTTGGGGACAGGGCGCAGGCAGTGGTTTTGGGGCTCTGCTTGGTGCAGTGGGGTGCAGGGCCACATCCCACAGGCATGTGGAACCACAGTAGTAGCGATGTCACTGGGAGTCAAGGGGGAGGCCGGAGGGAGGGGCCCGGCCCTGGGACATGGCCACGTGAGTCAGAGAGAAGCGAGGAGGGGTCTGCACTGGCTGCGGGCACGTCGGGCCTCATGCATCTATGGGGAGAAGTAACTGTGCTCTGTGCGTGTTGTTGTTTCTGCAACCTGGCCCTGGCCCCCCGGACCCCAGGCAAGTAGGTGCTCAAGGTTGCGGCCCCTTCACGTTCACTGCTTTAAGCTACGTGGTGAACTCGGGGTCGCAGGGTGATATGAATAAAGCACTTTATCCACTTAAAAAACCCAAGTCCATTTCAACTCATATCAGGCTGAGCGGTCCTGTTTTGAGGTGGAGGAGAGCAGAGTGGAAGATGCTAGATGTTCTTGCCCCTTCAGAGCTGCGTTCTTGCAGCAGAGGAGGGAGGCAGACACACCGCAGTCGTAGTTCACTGCCCATCATATCGACACAGGGCCACCCGGGCCAGGAGTGCAGGGCTGGAAAAGTTATCACGAAACTGAATTTCAGGGGCCAGTGAGGAGAAGGCAGTGGGCCCCGGGGCCGGGCTCGGGGCTCTGGCGCGAGAATCCGGGACGTTGCAGCAAAGGCTCAGCCCCTGGCCGGCAGCCTGTGTCCTGTGGGGTGAGGTGAAGACGACCCTGAACCCCTCCAGGGCACCGGGAACGTCCAGGGGCAGGGGCCCAGTGCCGGCCTCCACTGGGGAGTCGATGAGGAAGGGTCCCAGTCCTTCCCTGACCTCGTCCCTCAGCTCCTCTGTCCCCATGACCACGTGAGTCAGACGAGATCAATCTAGAAGCAGTTCCCACTCGACTCTTGGTCCTTAAAAATTACTGAGAAGTACACCTCGTCTTGTTGAAGCGGCTCTGGCACCTTTGCTAGGCTGGCCACTCTCAGCCCAATTTCCATCTGGTGGCTTGGGGAGCATGGACATCATGAGCCCAACGCCCCGTCTTCTGTCGGAGGTCAGAAGTCATCCAGTCCCACCCCAGCCTGCAAGGCCCACCCTGCCTCCCACCCTCCAGCTTGTGGTGTGCTCTGGGTGGAAGACAGGGGCTCTCCCAATTTTGGATTGGCCTGCAGCTTTGGAATGTGTGGGTGAGGGGTGTCCCCTGTGCAGAGAGACAAGGGAGGTGACTGTTGTAGAAAGCCTCAGGGTCGTTTACACCCTCGGAATGCAGGAGGGACATGAGCATTTGCTCCCACAGCTGCAAGTCCTCTGACCGCACACAGCCAGGGAGGGAGACACCACTTTCCAGATGAGCGATGTGAGGCTCAGAGAGGAGAGGTGACTTGCCCAAGGTCACACAGCTAGTAAGGCTGCCAGGCTCCTGGTCCACTCTTCTTCCCATAGTCCATCCATCTACCCATCCATCCATCCATCCACCTACCCATCTACTATCCATCCACCCATCCACCCATTCATCCATCCATCCATCTACCCACCCATCCATCCACCCACCCATCCATTCACCCGTCCATCCACCCACCCATCCATTCACCCGTCCATCCATCCACCCATCCATTCATCTACTATCCGTCCATCCGTTCACCCATCCATCCATCCATCCATCCATCCATCCACCCACCCATCCATCCACCCATCCGTCCATCCATCCATCCACTCATCCATCCATCCATCCATCTGCTGTCCATCCACCCAACCACCCATCCACCCATCCATCCATCCATCCATCTACTATCCAGCCACCCAGCCACCCATCCACTCATTCATCCATCCATGCACTCACCCACCCATCCATCCATCCACCCACCCATCCATCCATCTTTTCATTCATTCATTTATTCATTCATTCAAGGACCAGCTGCCTTCCCATCTAAGCACCAGTGTACACCTTAACTTATTACACAAACATTAAAAGTTGCTATTAATGCAATTCATATATACCAGTGATACCATATGTTATTATTAATTAATATCCTTGATTCGTCATGCTAATAATTATGGGTAAAAATGAGAAATGAGCTCAACAAAGTGATGACCTCATTGAGGCCTCCTTAGCCACAAGATGCTTGGGCCAAAACAAGGATGAATAGGTCCCAGGACCTCTGGCCTCTCGCGCAGTGGGGACCCTCAGGGCTCCAGGGATCCGGGGGCTTTGAGATGACTTCCCAGGTCACTGTGTCTCCCCCCAGTGGAGCCTGAGGTGAAGCTCATCGGCAACATCCACGGCAACGAGGTGGCGGGACGGGAGATACTCATCTACCTGGCCCAGTACCTGTGCTCCGAGTACCTGCTGGGTGATCCCCGCATCCAGCGCCTGCTCAACACCACCCGCCTCCACCTGCTGCCCTCCATGAACCCTGATGGCTACGAGGTGGCGGCCGCTGAGGTGAGCCCCCCACGCTGGATCCACGGCCGCTGCCTTCGTCATCCCCCATCCATCCGTTCACTCACTAGCAGTTACTGAGGGTCTGTGTGCGCCAACCATTCTGTTGAGTGACGAGGATTCAGCAGGCATCAGCCTTGGCGAGGTCCTCCTTGGGGGTGGGGGCAGATGCAGATAATTCTAAGGTGTGTTGAAGAGGTGACATGCTCTGTAGAGGAAACGTGATGAGAAAGGGAGTCGAGAGAAAGAGGGAGAGAGAGAGAGAGAGAGAGAGAGCGCGCACATGCGAGTGTGCTCTAGCTGGAGGTCAGCTCAGGGAAGGTCTCTGAGGAGGTGATGTTGAGCAGAGCCCGGCGGGAGGTGAGCGTGAGCAGCGCATGACCCTTGGGGGCACTCAGGCAGGGGCATCAGAGGGTGCAAGGCCCTGAGGCTGGAGGATCGGCAGGGAGGCCGGGCGGGAGGGGCCAGAGAGACGGGAAAGGAGGTCCAGGGCAGCTGTGTCCTCCAAGTTCCTCAGTAAAGCCAGAGAGGACCGCAGCCCCCGCCTCCCACTCTCCGCCTAGCCCCGCGGCCTCCCTCCGGAAGGATCAGGGTGCAGTGTGCTGACCCCTAGTTGGGGGGTGGCCTGTGTTTTCAGGGTGCTGGCTACAACGGGTGGACTAGCGGGAGGCAGAACGCGCAGAACCTGGACCTGAACCGCAATTTCCCCGACCTGACATCTGAGTACTACCGCCTGGCCTCGTCCCGCGGCGCGCGCGGCGACCACCTGGCCATCCCACAGCACTACTGGTGGGGTAAGGTAGGAGCCGTGCTGCCCACGCTGCCCGCGGAGGCGTGGTCCCCCACAGCTATGCGTCTGAGGGTCTCTAGTTATTCCGGACCCTCAGGTCTGGTCCCCCCAGGGCAGGAGAGCCTGGCGGTTAACAGCCTTAGTGCTCCGAGCCTCAGTTTCCTGCCTGTGAAGTGGGGGTGACTCCTCACTGGGTTGTTGGGATTCAGGGAACATAGAAGCACCCAGAGCCTGGCAGGTGCTTAGTGACAGCTACCCAGGAAGGCTGCCTGGAGGGGGTGATGTCCCCACGAGGCAGGAAAGAAAGTTCCAGGCAGGAGGACCAGCATGTGCAAGAGCCTGGTGGTGCCTGAGTGGAAGCCTGAAGGCCGGGCGGGTGTTGGGCCCGGTCCCTGGGACGGAGTGGGCATGGAGGGCCTGGAGAAGTTGTGGAAGCCTGTGGGCGTGGCTGCAGGCGGTCAGCAGGGGCGTGCTGGGTCCTGAGAACGGCCTCCTCCGCCCTGGGCAGGTGGCCCCCGAGACGAAGGCAATAATGAAGTGGATGCGGACCACCCCCTTTGTGCTCTCTGCCAGCCTCCACGGGGGCGACCTCGTGGTGTCCTACCCCTTCGACTTCTCCAAGCACCCCCAGGAGGAGAAGATGTTTTCTCCCACGCCCGATGAGAAGGTGAGAGGGGGGTGCCGTGGTGGGACGGGCGTGCTGTGGGTGCAGGGGAGGCAGCGGTGTGGGTGGTGCCCTCGGGGCTGGCCCAGCGTTGTTCCTGTTCTGAGCTTAGGGAAGCCCACAGAGTCGCTGAAGCATTAGGAGCCTTACAGGCCCAGCTCCGAACCCCTCCTCCAGGAAGCCTTCTGGCCGGCTGGGAGCAGCCCCTCCCCACTCTTCCATCAGTGTCCCCGTCTGGGAGCTCCTGCCGTGGGGACTGTGGCCCCGCCTGGCAGGTTGCCTGGTGTTTTCTGTTCAAGGGGAGGGCAGGTGCCGGGCGGCGCCGGCAGAGGGCAGTGCTGCAGCGCGCGTGGCCCCGGCCGGACTCTGGCCGCCTCCCTCCTCCCTGTGGGCTGGCGAGTTAGGGGTTGGCTCCATGGGACCCGGGGCTGCAGTGGGATTGGAGTAGGGATTCTGGCCCCGGAGTTCATCTGGGCCCTGAGGAGGCCCTTCCCCTCTCCAGGCCTCAGTTTCCCTCACTGGCACAACAGCAGGGGACCAGACACGTGGTGATGGCTGGACCCTCTCCAGCCCTACTTTTCTCCACTCCTGCCCAAAGCTGCCCAGCCCTGACCGTGTCCCTCCCCGGGCCTCATACTGGACCTCCTGCAGGCCAGTCTGGGAAGGGTGTGGGAGTTCACCCCTTCCCATTTCATGGATGAAAAACCTGAGGTGAGGGAGGGGGTGACCTGTGGCGGGCCGCAGGCCACAGCCAAGAGCATTGGAGCTTAATTGCCAAAAACTGCTCCTGGTGACCGCCCCCTCCCAGGCCAGCCCCTGCACTCCCTGTCCCTTCCTGGGACGATAGAGCTGGAAGCCCTTGCCTTGATCGGCCTGGGGGTCTTGGAAAGGTCTGAGCTCTCCGTGTGGTCACTCAGCAGGCCTCCTGGTGGACCAGACCCTGGGTGGAGAGCCAGGCCTGCGCCCTGCCGCCTTCTCGCACTCTCCACCTGGTATTTAGGGGCAGGGCAGGGAGGGAGGGGCTGGTGCTGGTGGACGAGTGCTCGGAGCCCAGCTCGCACATAGCTTGTTCTCCTCGGCCACTCAGAGGTCGGCTCGGCCTCACCCAGCCCCTTCCCCGTGTGCGGCCAGTCCCGGTCCAGTGCAACGAGCAGGACGGGGCCCTGCGCTGAGCGTCCTCGTCTAGGGTGGGAGATGGAGCCAGAAATGGGCAAGGACAAGAGGCGTGGCCAGGGCCAGGGCCGAGGGCTGCCCAGGAGGCCGGGGGCACAAAGGGTGTGTGTGTGTGCGCACATTGTGTGTATGTGTGTGTTGTGTATATGTGTGTATGTGTATAGGTGTATATGGGGTGAACCCCTAACCTGGCCCGGCCTTAAGGAGGGCTTCTCCGAGGTGGTGGCTGCCCCAGTGGAGCCTGAAGGATAAGGTGATTTCCTGCAGACACCCAGAGGGGCCCAGGCATGCAGTGGGAGCCGGGGAGGCCGAGCGGGGACACCTGGCTCAGCGCCCTGCCTCTCAAGAGCTGGGGAGCAGCATCTGTGACAATGGGGCATTTGTTCCCACGCCTGTTCGTTTTTGCACTCATTCACTCACTCACTCAGTCACTCATTCATTCACTCTCTCACTCATTCACTCACTCACTCATTCACTGACTCCTACAACCAGCACATACCTAGAGCCTGCAGGAGTGCCGGGTTCTGTGCTCCGAGCTCAGTAAGTGCCCCCCAAGGGTGGCTGGGTGGTCTCCACCGTGAGCCTGGCCCTGGTCCCCCTGTGCTGTCAGAGGGCAGCGCCACCAGCTGGTCACGGTGGGTGCCGGGCTTTGCATCTCTGAATCTCAGAGGCAGACGCGTGAAGATGTCCCCAGGGGAGAGGTTCACCTCAACAAGTCCCACCAGAGTCAGAGAATTGAGAGTCTTCCCCACCAGTCATCAATCATGGATCGATAATCCTTCAGGCCGTAGCCAGCGGTGGTCTCTGTGGAAGCCAGAGTCCCAGGAAAGGTGCTGGGGGCGGGGGAGCATGCGGAGGGGCTGGCCAGGGTGTCCCGTGTCACCCCCAAACTTCTGTGGTGCCCCGTGGACGAGGGCCAGGGCCTCAGGGCAGCATTCAGGGCCACTGGCCTCATGCCCTCTGTCCCCCCCACCTGCCCCTTTTCCCGAATCCTCCTCCACCCCTTCCCGGCCCTGCCACACTCGCAGTGGGAACGAGCCAGCTTCATGCGGGGTCCCAGGCGGCAGGAGTGGGTGGGCTGGTCCTCGTCCATGGGCGCTGGCCTGTGTTCCTGGCCCTGTGCCAGTCCACGAGTGCCCCTCCTGGCCGCCTGCCGTGCCCTACCTTGCTTCGTCTACGGTTGTCTCTCTGTGTCTTTCCCTCGCCCAGCCTCTGGGCCAGAACTCCTCCCGACGTCCTTGTCTTGCCCCCACCCCCCCAGGTCGGGCCTGTTCCTAGCCAGACCTGCGGCTCATGCGCCCCGGGGTTTTGGGGACTGATGGCGACTTTCTCTGCCCTCTGGGTGGGGCAACAGAGGCACTGACTGATAGGTGATGGGAGGAAGGCCCCAGGGCAGGATGGAGAGAGACGGGGTCTGGAGGGTGGTGGGGAGCAGAGCTGGGAGAGAGTCTGGTCCAACCTCCCCCGCCAGCCCAGGTGCTGCTTTGCACACGGGTGGTGGAGGGCCAGAGAGCTGGGATGCTGGGTGGGGCAGAGTTCTAGAAACAACCCAGTCGGCATCTGCAGGCGGGTAGGCCCCTTTCCTCGGCCGCTGGACTCCTGGCTGAAGACGGTTGATGCCGACCAGCGCCGCCGGGCGGCTGCTGGCAGGATGGCAGTTCCTGGTCCACCCACCTTGGTGACTGCAGGACACGCGTGGGGCTGTAATTTGGGTGTTTCCTTTGTTTCTGTGGGGCTGAGTTGAAGCTGCACCGTCACACCCCTGAGAAACTAGACCCTTCCTTCCCTAAGCCCCAGGTCCTGGGTCTGAGTCACCGTGACCCCCGCCAGGAGAGACCCTCACCCTGGCCTGGATCAGCTCCCCGTTACTGACTCTGCCCCTTTCTTATAGAGGGGGACCCACCCCCGCAAGGCAGACTTCTCCCAGGGCCAGGGGGCCCTCATCCGTCTGACGCCCACTTGGGAGCCTCCCCCGGCGGGGTCAGACCCCGTGTCCGGCCCTGGGACACACAGACGGCTGAGACCCACCTGACAGGAGGTTCTGCGGGCCCTAGGGGGCGTTGGGGGGTGATGGGGGAGCACTGGGCTGGGGAAGGCCAGCAGGGAAGGGGCCTGCACTACCAGGAATCCCAGCCACACCCAGAGGTGCCCCGCCTCCAAGGTGCCACCCAGGGGGTGGCAGCCCCGTGGGCCGTGTCCTGTGTCCCTCTACCAATCACGATGGCAACTGCATGTGGTTATGGCTGTAGGCTGGTGGGCTCCCCCAGGTGCTCTTGGTCCCCGGGGAAAATGAAGTGACTATTATCAGAAAGGTTTGCTGGGGAAATGAAGTCAGTGACAGCAAGGCCCACCTCAGCTCTCCCCGAGGCCTGCTCTCCGCACAGTGGCAGGAAGTGGTTTATAAACTGCAAAGCCACCCTCCATGCGCCCTGCCAATGTCACTGCAGTGTGCCCCCTTCTCGAGAGAAAGCCCACACTCCCCAGCCAGGTGTGTGGGGGCTCCATGGTGCGCCCACATACCCACGACAGGTGCCCTGATCTCTGCCTGCCCCACCTCTGGGCCTTTGCACGTGCTGTGCCGTCTGCGTGGACACCGTTCCCCTCCTGCCAGTGCTGCAGGCCACTCCCTCAGGAGGCCTCGCCTCACCCCATTGCCCAGAGCTCTGAGGCCCCACCTTCTGGTCTTGGTCTCTGGGAAACCTCTCTCTGCCTCCTTTGCAGATGTTCAAGTTGCTGGCCAGAGCCTATGCCGACGTCCACCCCATGATGATGGACAGGTCGGAGAACAGGTGTGGGGGCAACTTCCTGAAGAGGGGCAGCGTCATCAACGGGGCCGACTGGTACAGCTTCACGGGAGGTGCGGCCCTGGGCAGGCTGGAGGTGGGGCCGGGGTTGGGGCAGCGGTCAGGAAGAGGGAGGGAGCTGAGGGAGGGCGGGGGCGGGGCTTGGCGCCTCCTCTAGCGGTCTGGACCATCCGAGAGCAGCAGACACACCTCACAGGCCCCCCACCCTCGGGCGTGGGCTGGCTTTAGGCCCAGGTGCTGTCTTGATGGAGTTCGTGTGTGCCTGTCACGGCAGAGCTGCACCTGGGACCCCCTTGCCCTCTCCGTTGCTTGTTTAGTGAACGCCTGCGTTTCGCAATTCCGCCTGCGGCCAATTCTTTTTGGCCTTTGGGGGTTAAGTAGGGTTGCTGGAATACAGGACCCCCGGTTGAATGTGGATGTCAGAGACATAATGAAGAGTTCTTTAGGGCTGGATAAGTGTGTCCCGGGTATCGCACGAGATATACTAAAACTTTATTCGTTGTATGTCTGAGTTCATCTTGACCGGGCGTCCTGTATTTTGTCAGCTAAAGCTGCGCTGGGTGCAGACACCACACGGAGCAGTGGGGGTGCCCGTGGTACCCTGTGCGTGAGGGGCGCCCGCTGGACCGGGCCCACACGCATCTGCCTGCCCCTCTCCCCACACCGGCACATTTATCATTTGCATCCTTTGGCGGATGAGGCAGTTGGGCTCAGACAAGAGCAGGGCCTGCTCAGGTCCACCACGGGTGGCAGGGCCAGTCTCACTCCAAGCCTGTCCCCACCTCCTCCTGCGTGGGCAGAGAGGGGGCCCCTTTGGCTCCCCTTCGGTTCTGAGTCCAGTCCACACCCCTGCCCTGCACACTTTTCCCACGATCGCACGTGTGGTCCTTTCCCGGGGTCGCTCAGCTTCTGCCTCCCGGAACCCAGGCGCAGGGGTTCCTTGAATCCCAAGGGGGTTGCGCTTCTAGTCTCTCCGTTATGACCCGTTAACGAGGGTCTGCAAAGGACCCTCATGTTGGGGCCGGGCCTGGGAGAGGCCAGCGTCTGGACCCCAGCTGGGCTCCCCTCCCACAGCGACACGGACCCAGGGAAAGCCAGCGGCCAGGCCCAGAGAGGGCCAGATGGATGGGGAATGTGGCAGCACTGGGGACCGTGAATGTTAAATCACTGACAGTGGCTGCTGGGTGCTGGGGTGCCGGGGCTCAGAGGAGGCCCCGACTTCCTAAGGGCAGGGGCCCCCAGCAGCTCCCGACACAGGGCTGCCCCCTCAGTGCCGTAGGCCTGGGCCTTGGAGGATGGTTGTGGCTTCTGCTGGACAAGAAACTCCAAAAGCAGATGGGGCAGAGGGCAGAGAGCAGAGGGCAGAGGTGGGTGGGGCAGCGGTCATCCCAGCTTGCTCCCAAGCCTCTCTCTGCCTCAGATCTTCCTCCCCAGGCTGTTCTGGGGACTGTCCAGGTAGATGGACAGTATTATCACTGGGGGTCCAGGCCAGGGAAGGCCAGCAGCTCGGACACCAGGGGCACCTGTGGCCACCACATGCTGCCAGCTTCTCGACGAAATCAGCTCATTCTTTACCTACCGAGGGGCCGCGTAGGACAGCGGGTGAGCCCGCGGACCCCGTGGGGGCCAAACTGCCTGGGTTCAGAGTGCGGCTTGGCCCCTGCCCCGGGCCTCAGTCTGCTCGTCTGTAAAGTGGGAATCGCGACAACACCCGCCTCCAGGCGCGCGGCTGCTTGGCGGCTGCGGGGTGGGGCTGGCCGTGCCCGGCGCCCGCTCAGCCCCCTGTGCCGCAGGCATGTCCGACTTCAACTACCTGCACAGCAACTGCTTTGAGATCACGGTGGAGCTGGGCTGCGTGAAGTTCCCCCCCGAGGAGGCCCTCTACACCATCTGGCAGCACAACAAGGAGCCGCTCCTGAACTTCGTGGAGATGGTGAGCTCGGGGGCCTCGCTCGGGCTCTGCAGGGCCTGGCGCTGGGGAGGACGGAGGCGGGTCCCCGAGGAGCCCCCAGCCTCGTGGTCCAGCGCGCTGTGTGGCGGGCTCAGCGCCCACGCGTCCACTCGGTTATATTTCACTTCTCATGAGCTAGCCGTCCATTCGTTCATGGCTGAAGCCTCGCTGGCCTCCTCTCCGCCCACAGGCTGGCCCTGGGGGTGCTTCAGACACCAGGGGCCGTACATCGGGGTCCCTGGTATAGCGAGGGTCTCGTGACCTAAAGGGGCATGACTGAACAAAGGGAGTGCAGGGACCAGGGCAGTCTGGGAGGCACCTGACCCAGCCTCGGGGTCTTCCTGGAGGAGGCAGCACTTGGGCTGCGTCTTGAAGAAGGAGTAGGAGAAATCAGGTCATGGGGCAGAGAGAGCTCGGGCAGAGAAGTGGTGTGAGGGGGTCCTTGTGGCCAGAGTGAGGAGCGCAGCCATAGGACTGGGGTGGGCCCGAGTGGGGTGAGGCCCGGAGGCGACGGCTCTGGACAGCAGGTCTCCGTGTGGTCCAGCAGGGCCTGGGGCACCTCTGCCCCTCGTCTCGGAGGGAGGGCCCAGGCTGGCAGGGAGGCAGCCAGACTCAGGGGAACTGCTGTCAGGGGGCTGAGGTCACCCAGAAGCAGGCTGTGGATGGTGAGTAGGGGCCGTGGAAAATGTGTCTAAAGTAACCCCTCGGTGGACCTGGAGAGTGTTCCAGGGGCTTGGTGACCGATGCCCGACGTCCTGCCACCTCTCCCGGCCCTGCCCCACACCTCAGGCTCCATGCTGTGGGGCTCTGAGTGAGGTACCGCGTGTGAGAGAACGCAGGAGTCAAAATGAGGAGAGAGCAGTGGTTTTGGACAAGCCTCTGCTGTTTTTTTCTGAGCATTTTTAAGAATCTCACACCTTGCATATTGGCACAATATCCCAGGGGGAAGAAGGTCCTAAGAGAGAAACCGGATTGCCCAAAGGAGACAGTGAGGGGGCTGTAAGTGCACAGCACTTTATAGTTGGTACCCCTGCATATGGCACCGAATCCCGACACCACTTGTGGGCGGTAGACAGGGCTGCCCCGTTTTACAGGTGGAGGTACTGGTGCCTGGGAAGGACGGCGATGATCTGGGGTCGCTTAGGTCATGCACAGGCTCCCAGTGGCTGTGAGTCAGGAAGAAGAGGAGACAGAGGGTCAGAGAATGACAGGGCCTGTCCCGTGTCACCCAGCGACTGCCCAGAGCTCGAACTCAGATCTGGCTGCCCCTAGACCTCAGTTCTGCCCATGGGCCCCCTCCTTTCTAGAAAGATCAGGAACCTTCTTCCAGGCGAGAACCAAGCAGAGCCTCCTGGACCTGCAGCCACAGCAGCAATAGGAACAGAGCCAAGCCTCAGATAACAACTTGTTAGCGTCGTGTGAGTTTCTTTTTTACGGCTGTGCCAGCGACCTCGCTGCGGGAGGCAGGTCGTCATTCACTAATGGCTCTGGGCCAGGCCTCCTCGCTCATTTCATTTTACGGCTGTCTGGTGAAAATGAGTTTTAAGGAGCCTTAAATGGAGCTGGGATTGCTCCGTGGATATTGTATGTGAAGTCTTGGGATATAAAGATTTAATAGCGAGGGTGATGCTGCAGAAGGCTGGGCAGCATGCAGCCGGGAATGGCCAGTCCCCGAGAATGACCCCCCGGAAAGCCGAGCCCAGCCTTCTGATAAGGATCAGGTCTGTCGTGGCCCATTGAGGCCTTTCCACCGCGATCCTGACCAGGCCTTGGGGGGGTGTCTGCATCTCCCTGGTTGGGAGAGGAGGTGGGTACTGGAGAGCTGCGTGTCCCTGGTTCTGCCTGAAGACGACTCGTCAGCCCCAGAGCAAGGACAGAACAAGTTCTAGCCAATGTAAGCTGAAATTAAATGAAGCCCTACTATGTGTCTGGCCTCTGCTATCAGGTCGGGGGGACATCACAGTGAGGTCAGGGCTGTGGGAAGCCCAGGACTGTGGGACCCTAGGGGAGGCCCCTGATGTGGCCAGTCATCAAGGGGGGCTTCCTGGAGGAAGAGGCGAGTATGCGGTGTGTCTCGAAGCAGGAAAGGAATTGACCAGGTGAGGGAGCTGGCGAGGTTTTCTGAGCACAGGACGGGGCAGGACGGAGTCAGGGGCCTGGGCGACACTGAAGGTGTGGGGGCAGCCTCGGGGGGAGAACAGCCTCACTGCTCTGTTTCCCCTCCCACCCAGTGGTCCCGGCCTTGTTTGATGTGACCTGCGGGTCCAGGTTGTTTCCAGCCCGACAGAGCCAGGGTGCTCTGGCTTGTTCACCGTCGATTGTCCTGGGAGGGGAGATGTGAGCAGGATCAGGCAGTGCCGGGAGACGCTTTCCTTTTGGAAAGTGCAGCTTCCGAGTCTGAACGCTGGGTCTCGGGGTGTCTGCTGGGAAGCGTGGCTGGGCTTAGTAGTGCCAGTTCGTAGTGGGGGTGTGGCAGTCCTTGTGTGTATTAATTCTTATCCCCCAGCAACACCTGCGGGGTCTCTGCTGCCTTGTTTTACAGACGGGGAGACGATGCTGAGGTGGAGGTGGCTTGCCCTGGGTCAGAGAGCTGGTTGGTGGTGTGGCCAGGACGGACACCAGGGACCAGACACTCGGCCCGTGTCCTGCCGGTGCCCCACGCGGCCTTGGGGACCTCGGCTCAGAGAGAGCCCAGCTGGCACGGGCTCTGGTCCTGGAGGCGGGGGGTCAGTGTGTTAGGAGGACGTGGGGGGTCCTGCTCAGCGCTCCTGGCCCAGGAGACGTCAGCCAGACCCTCAAGCCGGACTGTGGGTCATTCACAAGCCCCGATGGGGGCTGATTGCTGGAGGGACCCCAGGGATGGCCTCACGGGTCACCCTCATTTCACGATGAGGACACCGAGGCCCAGAGGGGGGCGTGACTTACTCAAGAGGTCAAGGCGCGTGGTGCCGTGTCCCAGAGACCCCGGCTCTGAGGAGAGCTGGACGGGACCTGGCGGGGCGGGCCGTCCCGGCCCTCTGGAGAGCACGCGCCATGTCATGCCCTCGTCCTTGGTCTCTCCAGGTGCACCGGGGCATCAAGGGCGTGGTGATGGACAAGTTTGGCAAGCCCGTCAAGAACGCCCGGATTGTGGTCAAGGGCATCCGCCACGACATCACCACGGGTGAGCACCGCCCGCGGCCCGCGTCACGGTGGCGGCTCCCGCGAGAGCTCCCAGCGGGCCCGGCGCTCCGCGAGGCGGCTCCTCGTCCTCGGCCGCCTGGCTGGTGAGGGAGGGGGGAGCCTGGGGTCTGCTTCCACCCGCCTGGAGCCGTGTCTCTGGCAGCACGGGCCCCGGGGAGAGCGTGCTCGGGCCCCGCTGCCGGTGACAGAGGACGTGTACTCCGCGCTCCTTTAGAAGTCACTGTGCTGGGGACACCGCCTTCTCAAGGACTGCAGCAGGGACCACCCCCAGTCATGAGCCCATTTGTTCATATCCCAGGGCTTAGATCCCACTGACAGGCTGGCGTGTCCAGCCCTGTGGGCTCTGGGTGCCCTCAGGAATGTCAGAGCTGATTAGAAAATTATGATACGTTGTGACGTGAGTTAGCCGGTGGAGACGGGGTCCGGAGGAGCGAGGGATTGCTGTGTGGGTGGGGTGCGGGGGATGGGGATGGTCTGTGACGGCTCCAGCGAGGAGATGGTGCCTAAGCAGGGCTTTGAGAGACGGATAGGAGTCTGACAGCGGGAGGAGGTGGGGAGGACATCACAGGCCAACTCAGAGGCAAGCGTAAATTTGTGGTCTGTCTGCCCCCTAGGCTTGCCCACTCTGACCTCGTTACCCACTGTCTCAGGCTGAGTCTGAGCCTAGGTCTGAGGATCATTTTTATTCTACTTGTCCACAGCCCCAGATGGCGACTATTGGAGACTGCTGCCCCCAGGGTCCCACATCGTCATTGCTCAAGCCCCCGGCTACTCCAAGGTCATCAAGAAAGTCACCATCCCTGCCCGGTTGAAGAGGGCCGGCCGTGTGGACTTCATTCTCCAGCCTTTGGGGACCGGACCCAAGACCTTCCTTCTTGGGCCGCGGAGAAGCGGGCCCGGGCTCCGAGACCCACCGGGAGGTGCCGGCCCACACAGGGAGCCCGAGGAGCCCGGCCAGGAGCCCCTCGGGGCGCGGAGACAGCCCACGGCCAGCGGGAGCAAGCCCTGGTGGTGGTCCTACTTCACGTCGCTGAGCCAGCACAAGCCACGCTGGCTGCTGAAGTACTAGCGCCCCCGCCTGCGCCCGCCCGGACGCGGAGGCCCAGCCCCCGGAAGGGGCTCCGGCTCTTGATCTCGTCTTCCACCGACACCCCACAAAGCCGTTTCTGTTTTATTAAAGTGTTTTTATTCATCTCGGCCGCGATAGGAGGCTCTGTGTGTGAGGCACCTGCCGCGGGGGAAGAAATGGACCCCGGTTGAATGAGGGCCGCGCCCCAGCCTTGTTCACCTCGACGACGCTGGGGGCCAGTGCTCCTACTATCCCACAGGCGGCCCGTAGCGGGGCTGCCATTCACACACGTCTGTGCCTGGTCCTTTCCTGGACCGCGAGGCTTTGAGGCGAGAGGGGCCTCTGCTTTACAGACGGGAAAACTGAGGCCCCGCAGGGCACGTGACACGCCCAAGGTCACACACGGAGAGCCTCTGGGTCCTGTGGCTGAAGATTGTGTCTGGAGTATGTGGAGGAGGAACGTGAAGGAGACAGGTTGGGGGACCCCGGCTGGGAGGAGTGGGGTGTGGGCAGCAGGCGACTCCCCCAGGGTCAAGGCCTCAAGGGCAGGAGGGCTGGCAGGAACCTCGAACCCTGTATTATCACCCAAGGGTCACACTTGGAGGCTCCCGGGCTTCTGTGGGGGCCTGAGTCCAAGAGGAAGGGTCTCCCTGTGCCCCTTCTTCATCCTTAGGATGCCACCAACTCAGGTGCGGGGACACCCGAGTCCTCAGACTCCCCACAGGCCCCCTCCTGTTCCACCTCTCTTAGGGTGGGTTGGCTCTGTCCGTCCTGGTGTCTGTCAGGCAGGGAGTTACGTAGCCTGTCAGAGAATGCTGGCAAAGAAGGTGTCCTGGTCAGCTGGGGGTGTGTCACAGAGTGTCCCAGGCTGGGGTCGTAAGCCACAAGCATTCGCCGTGTCACAGTTCTGGAGGCGCGAGGTGCAAGATCAACCTGTCAGCGGGGTGGGCTCCTCTGGGCTGAGGAGCATCTGCTCCAGGCCTCTCTCCTTGGCTTGTCCCTGCCTCTCTTCACATCCTCTGCCCGCCGTGTGTGTCTGTGTCCAGATCTCCTCTTCTTGCAAGGACACTGGTCAGATTGGATTAGGGCCCATCCTGATGATCTTACTTTAATTTGATCTCCTCTGTAAAGACTGCCTCCAAATACAGTCACAGTCACAGATACTGGGCGTTAGGCCTTCGACGTTTGGCCCACAGCAGAAGGATTGGCTGCGACGTGGCAGGTTCCTGGCTCGCTCCTGACTGTGCCGTCAGGCCCCCCTGCCTTCCAGTGTCCTGGCCTGGGCAGGGGTTACCCCACATGGAAATGGGGAGTGCTGCTTGAGCAGAGCCTGACCCCAGCTGAGGACTGACCTGGCCCCACCAGCAGCATCATCAGACTGTTCCGTTGCTTCTCGCCAGCCTGCGCCATCTCAGGAGGCCTCAGCATTCACGGTCAGAGCTGAGAGGAGCAGGCACGCTCCCGGTGCCCTGTGGTGGTGTTTTCTTAGGGGGAAGGTACAGGAGAGGGCTTGGGTATCCTCGAGTCAGACAGTCTTGCCTCGATACAGCAGTTCACAGTTTGCAGAGCGAGGCACATGTGCATCCAGGAACGATCTGGAACATTTATCAGCCATCTTACAGCTTTCAGAGCCCTTCTACCCTATACTCACCTGTGTGTCCAGGGGTTCTGAAGGTCAGCATTTATTTGGCCCCACTGTGTACCTGGCACTGTGCAGAGGTCCTCTGTGACCCCTGAGAGGCCCGTGGGGCAGGGACTCCTAGTCCTGCTTCACAGATGTGGGTGCAGCCCAGAGAGCTTGTGCGACTCGCCCAGGACCTCAGAGCGTGTTGGTGGCAGCTCAGGCCCTCCTGCAGGACGCTAGTGTGAGGCTCACTGCCTCCCCTGCGTCTCTCACCCGCCCCCGCTGCTCGCGGCTGTCTGGAGGAGAAGAGCCTCCCAGAGTCAGTGTGAGAGGCAGAGACAGCTCAGCCGGGCCCAGTTCAGGCCAGGAGCTGAGGGCTGGGCCCCCGGGGTAGGGGGATCAGGAGGAGGAGACTGACAGAGAGGTGTGGGGAGGCTTCGTGGAGTGGGCCATGGCAGTTCAGAGGCACAGAGTGGGGACAGGGTGGGTGTCCTCCCCACACCAGCCCCTCGCTAGGGCTCACGTTGCTTGTTTCTGGCTAGCAGGGCCAGTGCTGTGTCCGGTGGCTCCTCTGTCCTTTCGGTGGATCTGGACAGTCCTCTGCAACGTCCTCGCCATCTGGCGGCTGCCGCGATCCGGGATCCTCTCGCTCCGTTTCATTTCCTGAAGTCTCCTGGTTTCTCTTGTGGAAAACACAACCCATGCACCAGGCTGGGGGTCCCGGGTTGGGGGTCATGGTTTCTAGGCCCTGTCCATGGACAGAGCAAGAAATAGATTTCCTTTTAAAGGGGAAATACAGGTGATTCATCCTGATGGTTCCAATTCCAATTCAGAATTACATACCCCCCTTTCCTGCTCTGAGAACCCCGATTTTCAACAATGATGGGGATGTAGAATTAGCATTTGTTGTAGTTGCTCATTCGCTTTATCCCTGAAACACACACATATAGAATATAGGTATTCAGTGTACAGAACTCACACCTCAGACAATACGGCAGCACCACCTGCAGTGTGATGACTGAAAACGGTTCAAGGTTTTTCTTTTCTGTCTTTTTTTGCAGTTCCTTTTGTCCTGGGATACAACCCATTAAGGATATAAGGTCAAATTATTCGCTTTTGCTAATCCCGGCAGCTGAGGGCACCAAGCTGCCACGTCCTGCAGGTCCCGTGGCCGGGGAGGGCATGTGGGCAGGAGAGAGGACACCCACCTTCTGGGGCCGGGCCCCCACTGGAAACGGCGATGAAAAGACACAGAGATAGACTCGAGGAAGCACGAAAAATTTCTGGAGCTAAAAACATGATTTGTAAACCAAAACCCATTTATTAGCTGAATTACAGGAGAGCCTGCATCTTTGGTGTCTGAATTAGTGTCAGGAAAGACTAAGTGGAGGACTAACTTGAAACGCGGAGCAAAAATACCACCGAGAGGAAATCATGAGGGAAGAGATTTTGAGGACAGAACCAGCAGCCTCATGTGCAAATATTAGGGAAGAAAGAACAAATGATAGAAACAAATTGTGAGCGAATGAGATTGCAAGCCTGCAGATTGAAAGGGCCCATAAGGCTCCAGATGGATGGTGCAGAAAGACCAGCCAGGCTCAGTCTGATAACATTCCTGAGCTCAAAGGAAAAGCAAAACTCTTGCAAGCTGCCATAAGGAAACAGAAACTTAGAAAGGACAAAGCACGGATTGGCACTGGACTTCTCATGTGTTGCTCTGAGTGCTAGAAGATGATGGGCTGGCGTCTACGAAGTGCTCAGAGGAAGGGGTGCTGCCTGGCACCCCTACAGCCCGATGAATAATCATAATAAATGATCATGAAGATAGCTGGTGCCCACGAAACGTTTTCTCTGTCAAGGCGCTACTCTAAGGGCTTCACACGTGTGAGCCCATCTAATTTGTTACCTCTCATTGATGAGAGAGGTATTAGAGTTATCCCCATCTTATAGGCACAGAGGGGTTAAGTAACTTACCACGTTCACACAGCCAGAGTTGGAACCTGGGAATCAGGCTCCAGGATAGGTCTGTGGTCCTCACCACTCTCTGCTGCCTCCTCAGATAGAGTTCATGGGTCCCAGAGAAAGAAGATTTCCAGATTTGCAAGGATCCAGGGAATACGTCATCCGGAAGCTCATCTGAGCAAACAACACTTGACTTAGGGCAGAGCCCCACACAGTGGAGGCTGACAGCAGGTCCGCCTGCCATGCTCACTGTGAGCCAGAGGAGATGTTGGGGCAATGGGGACCGTGGGATTTCAGTGAGAGACCAGAGACTCAGAAAATCATCCCCAGGGCTAGCCTGGTAGCTGCTGGCTGCGGGGGCTGGTTAAGCTCTCCTCCAGTGTGGCCTGGGAGGAGGGGGTGCCAAAGGGAGCATGCAGCACTGGGGGTCCCCCGGGGGTGGGTGTGTTGATTTCGTTCATAATACAGAACCAGGAACTTGATCGGGAGGCAGGAAAAGGCGAGATGATCCCAGGTGGAAGGGGAGAGCCAGGGTCACCCCAAAGCTGACAAGGAGAAAGGGGTGCAGTGAACAGCCCCGAGCCAGCAGCAAGTGAGGAAAAATAATGAGCATCACGGAACACGGAAGGAAGAAAATGCAGACCACCAAAATCGTGCATGGGCTGAATCCTCTGTTAAAACAACAGAGACCACCAATTTGGGTTAACATATAAAAGGCAGTATGTGTTTTAAAGAAAAATGCTTCAAGGCAAATGATAAAGAATGAAAATAAAGGGATGTTGAAGAGAAGCCAAGAAATGCAGACAGAGGAAAGCAAGGGCTTCACCTTAGTACAGAGAACGTGGAACAAACATCACAACATTCAATGGGAAAGAAAGATATTTCCAATAATTAAAAGAACAATTTATGAATAAGATAAAATAATAAATCTGTATCATACACTCATCGACTTAGCAGCTAACTGTATAAAGCCAAGTTATTTAAAAATACAAGGAGAATGTAACAAAAGCCGAATTGCAATAGGAACTACAATGTGTCATTTTCAGAATCAGACCAATCTAGTAGAGGATAAACAGTTAAATCAAGTTTTAGAGAAACGGAATCACATAGCCAGCAAACTCCATTTAATAGACGCGTATAAGACATTCATACTTCAAATGGAGACTATGTGTTCTTTCAAAGACCCATTGAGCATAAAAACTGATGATGTACTCAGTCACAAAGAAAACTTCAAGAAAAATTTAAAATGTCGAGACTTTCTCCAGCCATATTCCAGAAAAATTAGCAATAATAAATAAAAGTTTGATACCCCCCTTCACCACTTGGAAGGTAAGAAACGCACTCTTAAATTGTGCGTTGTGTTAGAGCATAGACTTAGCTGCCTGGCAGAGAAGCAACTGCAGAGTGGGTTAACACGATGGAAGTTTATTTCTAGTGTAAATGGCAGGTCTGGGTGGTGGCCAGGCAGCAGGAAGTCCTGCGAGAACCCAGGCTCCACGGTCCTGCTGCTGCGCCATCCCAGGGGTGCCCTCATCCACA